GGTGACCTGGGGAATTCGCTTTTTTCTACCTCTAAGCCTTGAGCAACTTGGGTATGAAGCCTGATTTATGGAGGCCCTTGCTGGTCTTGACCAGCAGAGTGACAGATGATGAACGTAAAGTTAAGCAAGTATTTCACTAGTGATGACATGATAGTCCCTTAGCCTCCCAGAGCCTCAGTTTCCTCAATCTGTACAATGGAGACAGCCATCTAATCCCACCCTCAGAATGGTAGGGAGGATCTGATGATAGATAAGAAAACGCTTTGTAAACTGTCAAGTCCAAAGCCATCACAGAGCCTTGTGCATCCAGCCGGGTAGCTGTTGGCTATCATCCTCTTGGTGTGGGGTGTCCCCTCCGTCCTGTTAACCTAGAGGGCTGGGATGGGAGATGGCTCAGTTGGGTGTCTGGGCTGCCCCTGGCTCCACCACCTCCCTGAGGTGAGGAAACCTGTCTGGGCAAGTCATATTGGGAAGGGGCCTGAAGACTATTCTTACAGAAGAGGAAACTAAGAAGGTAGATTCCAAGCCTGCTATCTGTGTGCCCCAAGGCACAGAACTCAGGCAGACGTTAATCAGTCCCACAGAACTGGAAGCCTATTGAGCAAGGTTCCCAGGATGGCCATTCCCGTAATTAAACTTATTATGAACTCATCCAGGGCAGTACTTTGCAAAAGTTAAAGGTAAACCTGCCCCTATCCTTCTTGTACCTTGCAGAGAAGCTCCCCGTCCCAAGAAGTTTTCCATGGAAACAAGAAACACATATAAACCCTAAGCAGAGGGGGGGCTCTTGTCCACTAGTGATTAGAGACCACCACCCTGTCTGAGAGATGGCCTTTATTTTCTTAGTTACTCTGCTAAATAAACTTACTTTTACTTTAAACTCTATATTGGCTCATGGTTGAATTCTTTCCTATGTGAAGTCAAGAACCCTCTTTTCCTGTAACACAAGTCTCCTCCAGGCCTGGGGCTCCAGTACCGTCAGAGCAGCAATTAACCGGTAGGTTGTCCACCCTGCTGGCCCCCTTCCTCATCAGCCTGGCCGCCCAGCCTTGGACTCAGAGCTGTCGGACCCATGCTTCTGCATTCATTGGGGGGAGAGGACCCCTTTTTCCTTGCAGAGAGGGCACAAGTGTCTGAGATTCGTTTTGTTTGCTCCATCTCCACCCGTGGATTGGCTGGCCAGTCCCGATTCACAAAGCATTCTCATGGGCTCCTTTTGGCAGCCTTGTGAAGTTGATAAAACAGCATTCATCACCAATTCTTCTTGCAATTTCACAGATAAGGGAGCTGAGCTCACCTGGAAGGGTCACAGGGAGGGTCTGCAGGCAAAGCCAGCAGAGTCCCCAGGCCTCAATGGGCAGAGGGAGGGAGATTCTCAGCAGAGCCAGGGGGCTCCCTTCCTCCTACTAAGTGATTGTTTTCCCCTCTCATTGGGAGGGCAACCCAATAACCAAGTAACAGTCCTTTGTTCTTTCTGGCCAGGGCAGGACAGAGAACAGAACACCTGCCCTCTCGCTCCTCAGGGATTGAGAACAACCCAGGCAGAGGCAGGGAAGAACCTGAGGGCCCCCAGCCAGCCCCACAGGAAAGCAGTTGGGATCTGACGTCCCCATACTTCCTTCTATGTGCCTTGGCATTTGTTTTGTTTTCCTTTTGTTTCCTAGTAAAAGTTTCCTTTGAAAAGCTTCAACCTCTACTCCCATGAGCAAAGGGGGAAGATTGGGGGCTGGGACGCGATGGCGGGGTGTGGCCCTGAAGAGGATTTAGCCGGCTGGGAGGGGCTGGGTCATCCTTCTGAAACAGCTGTGGGTCTGACTCTCCCTCCCAAGCAGCTGCCTGCTCTGCCCTTGGTGATTTGCGCTTGGCGTCTTAATAAATTTAGGAGAGGGAAGGAGTGCAGGCTGGCCTTTCTCAGACTTGAACATGCAGGTCTAGGGTAGGGTTGGGGGCAAGATTCTGCATTCCTGATCGGTTTCCAGGTGAGGCCAAGATTGCCAGATCCACGTGGGTCAAGCCCCTTCATTGCACAGAAAGTAGAGGCCCACGATCCGAGCCCCCTGCTGACATCTAGAGCAGTGAGTGTTCTCCCCACCTTGGCCTTGGCACCTTCTATGGTGCCTCTTCCATTGCTCACATCCTTCCGGACGTGCTCATTCATTGTCCCCACTAGCCTGGGAGCTTCCAGGAGGCACAGGCGGTATCCTGTTCACCTTTGGAACCCAACACAGGACACTTATAAACATTCATGAACAAGTACGTAGGTGACGCTCAGAAAAACTGCCCAGGTCCCCAAATGAATTTCAACTGGGGGAGCCCAGACCCAAACCCCAGAGCAAAGTACAATGGAGACATTTGGGGCTGCCCCAGAGCCCCTGTGTCTGTGGCCATCTGGTTTCAACCTGTCTTGTACCCCCAGGAAGGAGTCCCGGGAGGCTGGGAAGAAGGTTGCAGTGGAAGGGGATCCCCAGGTGTGAGATAGGAGAAGGGATGGCAGTGTCCACTGTGGAGAGCTACTCAGGCCCGGAAGAGCCTGAGAGAAAAACCCTGATTCTGGCCCCAGCATCTGCATGATTTCGAACAGGACTCTTTAATTTCCTACTACGCAGTCATTCAAGCCTGTTCCCTTCATTTCCCCTCAGATGGTCTGTGGACCATTCTTTGAGGACAGAGGTCTCAGCAGCTGGTATCTTCTAGGTCCCTCAAGTTCCATCTAGGGGAAAGATCATGAGATTTGGAGATAGAGGGCTGGACCTAAACACCCTGCCAGTGTCACTCTGGGCGAGTGGCTGCATCTCTCTGAGCTTCAGTTTCCTCCTCTGTTTAATGGGGATGGTGACTGGGTGACTCTGAGGACTACAGTGAGACGTGAAGGGCTGGGGCTTTAGGAGCTAAGACATTAACTCTCCCCACTTTTGGGCAACCCATCCCTTTCCTGGTGGCACCGCTTGATCTAGAACCCCACCCACCTTGTTCTGCTGTGCCAAAGTTCTTCCCGTCCCACCCAATCTGGCACCCTTGCCCAGGACAGAGACCTTCCCGGCCCTTCCAGCCCCATCTCCCCACATCAGTACACTCCGAAAAGCTTGCCAAGAGCAGATTCTTTATTAATTTCTTTTTTTTCTTAAAAAAAAAAAAGATTCCTTCAGTATAAAAAAATAAATATTTTAAATATGACATTGAATAAATAAAAATAATTTGTCAGTATGAAACATTCCCACAGGGTACATTCATCAAAGAGGAATTTGTCCCCCAAGGCCAAGTCCTTTCTAGTAGAAAGGAAAGAGGGAAATACAGAAGGATGCGCAGAGCATGGAACAAGTAATGTGGGCGAGAGGGACACCCAGGCACCAGGATTTGGAGGGGACTGGGAGTAATCCAAAGGTAAGAACATCTGTACCATCTGAAGGGAAATTAACTTCTTGCTGGGTTCGGGGCTCCAACCCCACACGCTGTGTCTATTCTAGAGAGCGAACCAGCCAGACAGAGCTGACTGCTTCTGTCAGGGGGACGTCCTCAAAGAGGGGACAAGAAGGAGGAGGAGGACAACAACAAGGAGAGACAAATAAACTAGCGGTGCTTTTTGGTTTGAAACAATGTTTAAATAAATAAGGTCCCCAATACTCCTCTCTCAATAAACTGCAAATGACTGTCCTACCCACTCCTCCACGCATGGCATCTTCCTCCTCCCTGGGTCTCCAGCCCATGACCCAGGATGCAAGTAAGCGTCAACGTCAGCAATGAAAAATGAGGGAAAGGACAGCTTCCTGCCCTGCAAAGCTTTTTCCACACATAGAATCCATAATTCAGGGATGCTGTGCAAAGTGGGTGCCAATCAGCCAGACTGGTTTCTAGAAAGAGCAGAGGATAGGTGTTGAGGGGCAAAAGGAGATGGGCTGAGGAGAGGAGGCAGTGGGCGGTGGGAGCTCAGGGAGCCAGGAGATATATTGGTCCTGGGGGAGATTTTCTTGGTCTCCTAGGCTCAGAGACTGCCCAGGTGGGCTCAGCGCAGGACACAGGGTGAGGAGATGATGGGAGACCCAGCCAGCCCCAAGCCTTCTGAGCCAGGTTCACTGAAGGAACAGAGCAACGGGGGATGGGGGAGACAGAGGAAGGGGTGGGCGTGGGGGACAGCAAGCTGAGATCCGGACCCACATGAAGACAGCATAGGAAAACATGTGACTGCCATGATCTCCTCCACTACCCCCGACATCTTAGTCTCACCGATGAGACAGACAACTCCAGCTCCACCTCCCCCACCCCCACCCTAGGACTTAGGGCCTGCCTGCTGCCTGCCCACCTGCCATGGAGCGGGTGTAGGTAAAGTGCTTAGAGAAGACAGAGAGAGGTGCAAAGTGAGTGCACAGTACCATAATCATATTGGCTGAACTGCTCGGACCACAGCCCACTCAGGGTTTGAGAAGAAGCCAGAGCGCTGCTCTTAGCAGCTGCCCCAGCTCCACACCCTCCTCCCCAGCTCCCAGACTGGAGGGCGTTTCTCCACTAGCCTGGCCCCAGCACAAAGGAAAAGATCAGGTTCCCTGCCTGGGAGCCCAGACATGGGTGGGGGCGTGGGGGGAGGTGGGGCAGGAGGGACCACAGCTTCCTGGTCCATGTCCCAGGGCCTCCCAGTCCTCCTCTCCAAAGCAGGGGGCTCTTCCTTGCACTGCCCCAGCTTCTTGAGGTCCAACCAGGCCCCCTTGCCCTCTGTGTGCGTTCGGCCACCAGAGGAGCTTCCCAGCTGTGTGCGAGCATGCTGGGTGCTGGGTCAGGATTGCTCCAGGGCCCCTTGACTGCTAGTCTAGAGGCAGGCAGCATGGGAACAAGGAAACAATAGCAGGGCAGGTCACCAGCGTTGCCTTGCCCACTGTCCCTTGAAGCACAATTCCAGGGGCACCAGAGAACACAGTGTTGAATGACCCCCCTGGAGCCAAGCAACATGGCAGCCCTAGGAAAAGGCCATCCCCCCCCCCCTCCCCCCCCCACCCCTGTCCCACAGCCACTCCACAAACTAGCGCATTCTGCCTTGCAACCAGGATCCTGGCATCCCCAAAGCAAGTCACAGTTGGGGTGGAAGTATGGAGCTGGGTCCCCCACACCCCTTTCCCCTCAGGCTGACCAGTTCTCTCAGTCCTGATCCTTCTCTGGGCTTACCCCACTTGTAACATCATTGACTTCCAGACCAAGCTCTGCTAAGGCCTGGCATTGGCTCCTATAGAAGTAGCCATCATATTATTTCTGTTGGGTAGGGAACAGGGAATTAACTTTGCCATTGAAAGCACCAATAAGTTAATATAAATAGGGCATCATAATAAATAGACAATCATGCTGGGTCAGACACACACACAGCACTCTTGGATCTCAGGCTTTCCTGAGACCCTGACCTCAAGTTCTGCTGTCCCCTTGCTCTAGGGACAGAGATGGCCTCTGTCCCCCTCAAGTACCTTTATGTGACCTCACGGGGCCTCCTTGGGCCTCAGGTGTGAGCTGCCACTCTGAACTACCTGATCCATCCCCTCCCTTACAGACCCTCGCCCAGAAGGAAGACTCTGGGTTCCCTCAGCACCTCCTCACCTGACTTTGCCACCTGCCCACCTCCACATACACCTCTTCTAGGTCCAGCCACCACACCCTGGCCACCCTGGGCTGCAGGAAAAACTGCAGGGAAGAGGAAGGAGAGCCCAGACTTTCAGGGACTCTTCCTTCCAGCGTCTTCCTTCCCAGGCGTGAAGGTGGCTTTTCTGCTTCCCCGGGAGCCTGAACACTAGTGGCCTCCTTCTGGAACCTCCTGCCTGAGCTCTCCAATCACACCCAAGAGAAGACAGCATCTGAAACCAGAGCTCCCGTCTCTAACTTCTACTCACCACACTTACAGGGACCAAGGCGTCCTTCGGGATCCCAGCCCCTGTGGCCTGCCCAAGTTCCAAACAAACCTTCCAAAGTCTACCTAAGGGGAAGCCAAGGCACTGATGATGGTCAGTCGGCTGGGGGCCGGGTAATTCCCCCGAACCTTGCTGTCTGGCCCTGTGGTCAGGGTCACCGTAGACAACTTATTCAGTTTGCTTACAAAGTCCCAGCTGAGGGGACAAGTGGGGGCAGAAGTCCAGCCCCCACTCCCCTCGCCAGCCTGACACCCCAGTGCCTGGCTGCAGCCTCCCAGAAGAAGGAGAAGGGGCGCCTTCCTCTAGTCAGCACTATATATAGGCCCTGCCTATGGGAGTTTTAACTACTCGGTTTCATCACAGTCCACCCTGGAGGAGAGTGGACTGGCCAGGAACCCCTCAGGGTCTGCCAGCAGCCCACATTTGGGTTTGTTGATGCTTTGGGCCCCAGCCACAGTTTGAGAGCCACCTGAGTCTCGGGTCACTGCACGCTTCAAGACCTCCTGTCTAGAAGGCCTGGGCCAGCACAGCGATGACTTGCTTGTACTTCCCTAGGAGCTGACAGCCCAGCTTCTTCTTATGGAAGACATCCTTGCTCGAGGTGTCAGGGCCATAGGCCACCTCCACGTGGCCCACGTGGTACTTGCTGCACAGGCGGCAGAGCACATTGCTGAGAAGGCCCCGCATGATGTCCGTGGTGGCATTGAGCTTGCTGTGGAGGCTGAGGGCATTGGGGTTGAGCAACTTCTGGTCCCGTGTGATGTTGCCCAGGGAGGCGCCCAGGTACGCAATGATGCGGTACAGCTCCACCAGCCGGGCCTTCTCCGTGCCATTGGCGTGGAAAGGCGGGAAGTCTGTCACGTTGGGGCTGCACAGCTTGTCCAGGTTGTTGGGGAACGGCTCCCCTTGGGCAGTGTACTGAGGAGCAAAGGGAAGGTGATGTGGGAGTCAAGGATGGTGTCCCAACCCTGTTACCACCCTCGAGGCAAGCTCTTAGGTCTCCGTTTCCCACCTATGGCATAGAGACCCAACTCCTTGACCTGTAGGCATCTCAGGATTGTCATGAGAGCCAGAAGTAATCATGAGTGCGAATGCACTTGATAAAGAATCAAGTCCTATACCGTGAAAGCTGTACCCTCATCATCATCCTCATCAAGACCATAAAAGGACAGAAAGGAAAAGGCCATGTCTTGCCTAGAGCACGTATACCACACACTTGCCCTTTTACCCACTGCACTCACCCTTGGAGGCTCTGCACCCACAGCCACCCACAGCCACTGTCTCTCCCAACTGCACCTCCCCATCCACCTCACCACCTTTCTCCTTTGTCTCTCATTGGCCTCTTGCTCCACGTGGAGGACTCCCAGGACTAGAAGTGCAAGGTCTCCCATCGCCCCCCAACTCTGCCTTACCTAACTGGGCACCCTGGGAAAGCGGCTTCCATTCTCCAAGCCTGGGTTGTGGGGATTACGGCAGCTATGGGAGTCTGGTGTGGATGAACTAAACCCTTTCCCTTTTCGTTCCTTCCAGTTCCAAAAAAGTCCCTTCCCTAACCAGCCCGGCCAGCCCAGGTCAGTGCAGCAATCCCACCTCCACCTTCTTCCTTCCTGAGTACCCGGGGTGGGGGACTTACATAGAGAATGAAGAGGGCGTTGGCACTGCTGTTGAGCTGCACCAGTTGGTTCTTGATCTGGTTCATGAGGTTGCTGTGACATGGGTGGCGTGTGACACAAGTGGCGTTGACAGGGGTGATGGGAAGCGGGCTCCCCGCCCCGTGTTTCCAGTGCAGAACCAGCAGCAGGGGCACGACTCCTGGGAATAGGCAAGAAGAAGCCATTAGCAGGGAGGTGGGAGGCAGGCAAGGGGACTTGTGGCAGAGGATGCTCATCGTCTCTCCTGGGACAGACACCGATGTCCCCTCTCAGCCTCTAGCTCTATCTTCCCCTGGTCTGACTCTTTTTAGTTTTCACCACATAACTACATCTGTTTCTCTATCTCCTCCAAATCTCTAAATCTTTATCTCTGCTTCTCTCCACCTTCCTATCTCTCCCTGCTTTCTCCTGAGAGAAGGAGCGCTAAGAAATGAACTACTCCCACCAGTTGGAAGTTGGCTCCAGAGTGACACCAACCATCCAGCCCTTTTTTTCAGGAAGGCAAAAGCCCCTGGAGGCCTCCTGGCCCTCTGACTGGAAGGCTCAGTGCCCAGGTTCAGGGGTGGTCTCAAGGAAAAGAAAGGCCCCTATCTTCTCACCTCCCAGGATAGGTCAGATTCCTAAGCATTACTTCATGCTCACTGGCCCATTGCAACCCAAATCTCTCAGATCTGGCTCCCATGGGGACCACAGGGGGACAGAAAGGGGTATCCTCTGCTGACCCTTTTCTCCCTCCCAAACCTGTCACATGATTCTGGCTCCCTGGGCCATTCGTCCCCTAATTCTGCCCCTCCCTCAGCTCTTCTATATCCTTCTCCAACTATGGCCATTCTTCTACTAAGACCCTCAACTTCACCTTAATTCTGTGGTTCTGTTCCCCCATCCACCCCCAAATCATCATTCAAAACTTTCTGTCCCCCGGTTCTGCACAGCTCCTCACCTCCATGTAGCACCCCCCCCCACTTTTGTCCACTCGTCCTTGCCCCAGGCCCTGGGTTAGAACAAGGAGAATCCAGGGGTCCCACAGGCCCCCAGAGCCTTAGGGAGGGCGGAAATGGTGCAACCAGAAAGGAGAAAAGGGAAAAGGTCGCAGGCAGCCAGGTGGGCGGGGGAGGAAGGAAAGTGAAAGGTGACAGGCGAGCTGGGAGCTGTTGGTGCCTGTCCTGGATCGCCCCTCCCCCAGGGTGCCTGCTTCCCCTCTTTACTCTTAGGTACCCTCAGAAGGGGCCTTTCCAGGTGGCTCAGCAGCAGGGACTGGGGTCAGCGGACCAGTGAGGCTGGGGAACCAATAAGGCTGGGGGGAGGGGTGCGGGAGCTTTCCACCACACCAGGATCCCCCCTGCTGGGACAGCGGGAGCCTCACGTTCACTTCTGCTGGGCCCTCTGTTCCGCCCAGAATCCCCAGGAAGTGCTGAGTCCCCGGGATGGCTGGGGGGACCCCCAACCGCCACCCCCACCCCCAGCTCACCTAGCACAAACCACAGCTTTCACGCACTAGCCGATGGAGGCGGCACCTGCTCCCGTCCCAGCCGGAGTTTGCAAGCTGCTCGGCGGCCGGCGCCCCTCCCAGGGAGCAGCCCGGGACGCGGTTGGAAAAGAGAAAGCGAAAAGACAGACAGACAGACAGACAGACAGAAAGAGAGTGGGAGGGTGAGTCCAGGCGAAAGCAGAGCTGGAAGAGCAGTCCGGGAGAGTGGCCGGATCGAGGAGGAAGAGGAGGGAGCAGGAGGTGGAGGAAGGCTGTGGCTCCCCCTCCCTTGCCTTCCAACCTGCTGACCCTGGGGCAGACGGGCTGGGTGCGCGGTGTCGGGACCATGTGCCTGCGCTCGCCCCCGGCCGCCACCCAGCGCCTCCAGCGGTGGGGCTGGCTGCACGGGCGCCCCAAGTGTCCGTGTATCTGCGGCGGGTGGGTGTCCCGCTCGCGATCGCCAAGTGCCCCGAGTTGCCGCTGCACTCTCAGCAGGGCGCGGAAGCCAGCGCGGGTCGGGTGGATTTACCTGCTGCCAAGACCTTTATTATGGGCTGGACTCCAGAGGGCCTTGGAGGAGACCTTAGATGCCGGCAGTTTTCAGAGGTTCATGCTCAAATGGGGAATTTGCCTGATTTATACACTGGAGCCTGTGTTGTAAGACAGAGAAACAGCTATATTTAGCAGGGATCCCCGTCCAGGAAGTTGTTTGAGGTGCATCATAGGAAATTATGAATGGAAGAAAGTGAGAGTGAAGGGGGGGCAGCAAGGGGGGAGGGTGGGAAGAGCAGACTTTTTCCCTCTTCTAAGAATTTGATTGATAAAATTATAATGAACTCTTCAACAAAACACCCTGTGGTTTTCCTGAGTGGCTTGCCCTGAAGATGAGGAGGGGTGGAGGGACCCCAGGCCGAGTCATCAGGGTCCCCTGGCAGTGGGTGCCCCAGACGGCCCTGACTCACCTGGGTTTGGGGAGGTGGCTTGAGACTAGGCAAGCAGATGGAGGCTGGCACCTGTGGCCCCCTGACTGGGGGTTTTGGGGGACAGTGGGCAGGAGGCAGTCTGGGGCTTGGCTGAGAAGGAGGCTCCAGGAAGAGGGGCTGGGGCCTGGTGTGGACTTTAGACAGTAATAAAGCGGAACTGAACTTGGGTGTTGGAAGCCACCTCATAGATAGCCTCCTCCAACCTGCCCATTGCCACGGGGCAAAGTGGGTCTCCACAGGGAATGGTTGCCCACGGTCCCATAGGGTCAAGCCCCCTGACTGCCATCAGCAAGTCTTTGTTGCTAACCGATGTCCCCTCTCAGCCTCTAGCTCTGTCTTTCCCTGGTTTGACTCTTTAGTTTTCACCACATAACTACGTCTGTTTCTCTATCTCCTCCTATCAACCCCTGGAGGCTGGGGAAGGGCTGGGAAGATGGGGAATAGGGGGTTGCTGTACTGGGTTATCTGGGGACAGTCTGGGGAGGAGCTTCTGGGAAGACTTCGTGTGTCTGGGGTTTACCTAAACTCTTTGCAACCCCACCTCCCCCTTCAGGGGCAGGTAGCCCAGTATTTCCATTCGGTTCCACCTGAAGCAGAAGCCTAGAGGGGCTTAGCAAATCGGACCCAGGTTTCCTCCTCCAGATGCAGAGGGATGGCTGGGGAGAACAGAAATAGCTTGCCCCTTCCAGACCTGCCTTGGAAGCCCCTTGGGAGCCTCAGAGAATGCTGGTGGCCCCCAAAAGGTGCTTCTAGAGTCGCTAAGGCAGGGTCACAAATTCTGGTGTCTACTGTGGTGGGGGTAGATTCATAAACGAGTGAGATGGGGCAGGAAGGAATGGTGGGGAGCAGGACAAAATGAGCACAGGGACTCCTCCCCTATAAAAAGCATTTTTAAAAATGAGGTGGGGGAGTGCTGGCCAGAGAACAGACATCCGGGGCCACACTGTCCCACAAGTTGCCAGGGGCACCCCCTACCCCAGGAGATGTCTCATTCCCCTCAGTACCCCACCCCAACCCTCTGGCCTGACCCTGACCAGAAAACAAGGCAGGAGAGTTGATTTTCTAAGGCCAGGGAGCTCCATTTTCCCTGGTCCTTAATACCCCCTGCCAACCCCTCCCCAATTCTCCATGCATGCCCCCAGCTCCTGCCTCTTGCCACATCTCAGACCTGCCCAGTCAGGCTTTCCTCCCACATCGTGCCAGGATGGGACCTATCGCTGTCCCCACTCCCCCCACACACACCCTGTCCCATCCAGGCTCACTTCCCCCATGCTCTGGGGGCCTGGGATATGTGGTGACAAAACTGCCCATCCCACCTGGCACTTCCCAGCAGGGAGGAGGCTGGTAGAGCCCAGACTGGCTCTCCTTCCTCTTCCCTGACCCCCACACTTTGTCTCTTCTTTGGGGGGAGCCACAGAAGGCCCCACCTGGCACTTGCCCCTTCATTATACTGCTCTGAGGTCTGTGTATACCCACAGGAGGCCCACCCACCCCAGCCTGGCTCAAGCAACCCCACACCCAGGACACCCCAGCTCACCTCCCTCTTCTCACAGTCCTCCCCACCCCCAGCCTCTCCTGCAGGACCATGAACTCCGGGTCATCCTCCAGCCCCACCCCCACATCCCCTGGACCCCTGTCACCTGACTCAGCCTGGCTCTTCTGATATGGACCCCAAATCCATTTGACCAGGGCCCCACTGTGGTCCATTCTAGGGATCCCCTTTTTCCCCTTGCCTCAGTCTGTCCCCGGGTGCCCTGATTCTCCTGGGGTTGCCCACCACCCTGTCCCACTAATCTCCTGGCCCAATTGCTCCCCTACACCCTTCCAAATGGACTTCTAGGGCCTTGCACTGCCCTCTGGCTCCCCGAATCCCACATCAGGCTTATAATCACCCCCAATTGCAGTGTTATCTCAGCCCCACCCCACAGGAAACAGGAAATGGGGGCAGAGTCTAGGAGACACTTAACCCCTGCCCTGGCTGGCTCCCTCCCGTGCCTCAGTTTACCCTCTCGTGGTACCTGACTCGGCCCGTACTCCCCAAGTGCTGTGGGCCCCTTGGCACCCCAGGCCCAGCTTCCCTCTCTCGTCCATGTCCAGGCACCACCTGTGCTGGGCCTCTGGGGAGAAGGCAGGCAGGGCCGGGTCTCAGAGCCTGCAGGCCGTGAGCTGCCTGCAACGTGGCGTCGGTCCCCAGGAATCGGCCGCCCAAGCTGCGCACCAGGCCAGCTTTGGTCTCCTGGAGTTTGTTTTCTTCCCTCCCTCTCGACGCTGCTGTGTGTGTGTTTTCTGCAGCTTCCTCACGGAAGGCATCCTCCCTTCTTGGCTCCCTGCTCCCAGGGTCGTGACCCCAGGCCCCACCCTGGAGTGGCAGCCCCAGCCCGGCCCCTTCCAGCTGTGACTTCATCCCCAGCTCGTCCTCCTCCTGCACGCTGAGCCTGTTGGGGATTTGACTGGCCTCAGGGTGAGGGGGACAGTCGAGGCCCACGTGCCCCCACCCTGGCTGAGCAGGGGACTGCCAGGCCAGGGCCCCCGGAGTGCTCTCTATAGGTGGCCATGCCACCCACCTGCTCACCTCCCCTTCCCAGGGCCCCTCTGGGCTCTTCTATACATTTTGGCACATGCCACCACCCTTTTCTGCTGATTTTCACCCACAAACCTCTCCTAGAATGTACAGACGTTTTCTTTTTCAGGAAGGGAAACTGAGGCTCAGAGGGGTAAAGCACTTGCCCAGGGATGCACAGAGAGTTAACAATAGAACAAAGTCTCTGGCTTGCAGGCTACAGTGATGCCAGCAGCACCTCACTCCATGACGGCAGCGAGGGGCTCTAAGGCCGCTTCTTCCAGGCTGCCTCTCACAGCCCAGACTGGCAGAGTCACCCTAGTGCCGCCCACTGTCCTTTCAAATAGAGACAGGTCTTGTTCCCCAGTCTTTGAGGACCTGGATAGGGTCTGATACTCTTGACAGCATCTGGCTTAGGGTTACACCAGAGCAGATGCTACGTATTTTTAAAAAGCATTTTACAATGTCCAAAAGCTGTCTGTGCCAAATCTGTCGTGGAGAGGAGGTGTGGAGTCTGGGGGGGTTTGAAATGTGGACTG